CCACTGTGGTCACTGCCCCCAACCCTGTGGTGCCCCCCCAACCCTGTGGTACCCCCCTCACCCTGTGGTGACCCTCTTGTAAAGAGGTAGTTTTCCAAATATATGTTATCATTATTACAGTAATACTACAAACTATAAGGCTCTATTCCCATAGATTTTAGATCGATCTATCCCCGCGGGGAGTGTCACTAGATTACTTTCAGATAATCCGACTTAAATGTCCGTCCCGCCTACTACAAGCTGTAAGGGGGTAATTAACTTTCGTGTCCGCCCGGCTGACAGCTATTTAGCGTGAACCCCCAGGGAGTTAGGTCAATCTAAAGTAGGTCGATTTAATCTATGGAAATGGGGTCTAAGAAACCTCTGTTTTTGATACAAATCAATCTGTTGATCTGATTGCATTCATCAAGATTCCCCTGGAACTGGATCGATCTATGAACTAGTAGAGCAACAGTTTTATTGGGAATGGACCCCAAGTTTTATTGCTACATATGTACATACTCTGCACAGTTTGGTTATGTTTGTTCAACAACTCCTTGACCAGATCCTCCATGGACCTAGAAACACTGCTGTCGTTGCCATGGTTATTGTTGCTAAGACTACTGCCAAGGTCTTCTGCAGGCTTCATGAGACTGGTGTCCTGCAATCGGTTGCCAGGGCTAGTACTATTATCTGCCTCTGCCATCTTGGTTTTCTTTAAATAAAATGTCAAATGTAAAAAACGTACTGGTAATGAAATCACACTTAATTTTGGTGCAATTTTGTTTCTAGCACTCCTTTTTACATAACCATGAGTGTTTGAGGCTGGTTACTTATAAATGTACATCTTCACTATGCAATGCACTGAATCATCACTTTACTTTTTCAAAAGGCATCATAATTTAATCAGTATTGTTTCCTCCTGACTAATTCAGAGAGAGAGAGAGAGAGAGAGAGAGAGAGAGAGAATGAGAAGAGAGAGGCAGAAAGACCTTTTTCGTGACAACATAGTCTCATAGACAAGAGACAGAGAGAGAAAGGAGAGACACAGATAGACATT